GCATGATAAAAGCTAGCGAGCATGCGACAGACGTAATGTAAACCATCTATCAGAGAATAGTGGACTAGAGTGTGATGAATGATATTCATATCTTGTGTATTGATATAAAATGGGCAGCTATTCAAAGTACAAAGTAGAAATTAAGGGACGATTCTTTGACCGCTGTGTCTTTGCTGAAGGCCTGTCCCACATGGGATTAAAACCCTGCTTTTCAAATTTCAACTAAGAGAGGAATGTGTATAGAAGTGTTTTTTTTTTTAGATTAAACGTGAAAATTGCACACATTTCTGCCCGTTTTGTCTGAACCTGTCCCACATTAGATAAAAGCCTGTTTTTTATATTTCATCTACAAGGGTAATGCGTCCAGAACTGGTCTTCTTATTTCCTGTAGTGCCTTAAATATGAAGTTGTGAACAGTTAAATTGTGCCTGGCGTTTAGATAAGCCTGTAAACAATCCCAAACACCTTACTCGTGCATAACAGAATATCTTGGCATTTCACTTCAAGAAGAATTCCTTAAGAATTTCYAAGTGTTTGCCCGCAAAAGTACTTCAATAACTTTGCAAGGATTAACTTAGGAATGGTCTGGCTAGATGTGGGTGGTCAACTTTGCCACGCGAACTATTAGATCATCAAAGAGTCTGCAAGATAAGCGAACACGCAAAGAACTCACGCAATTCTTGATTAGTACCCAGGTACGTTTATCCATTTTGCGTGGACGGGATTAGGGGATTGGACTGCGCGTGCTATTTGTCACGTGGGTCAGATTTGCGCGAAGTGAATTCTGGGTATAATATAGCGTTAACTGCGCATGGCAGTAGATTTTTTTTGTCAGTATAGTTTATTTTCCGGAACACGGTTTCATTTGAGAAAAATGTACAAAACTTAAATAAAACAATTTGACATTACGATAGCCTGATTTATCAAATTCCTGCAGGCTTCAGATTGCATTTGACCTTATTGCAGCAAATTCCAGAAAAGCTCCAAACTGAAATCAAATTACCAATAAAAAAAATACCTTTACTATCACTAGAAATAGGTCCAGCGGACAGAATCCATCGATACCCTTTATTAAACACGCTGAATCAATCGCGTACATGTGTCGCAAGGCCGCCAAAGACCAGGCATCAATCTCACTTAAAACCAGGTCAGGAGACAACCGTTTTCGCTGGGTTGCAAAAGGTTAGGATCGAGATCTGWTACCGCACAATACAAATTTGCGTGATATGAGAGAGTACGTCGGGAAAGYACAYCATGCCGCGGAAATGTACTGTTTCCTATATTACCGACACRAAGCATTTGCTTTGGACATTAAAAAACTACTAATTGCTATGGAATTGYTTTTCCTTCGGTTAACTGTGATATGCGGTTTACATAAAAAATAGTTAGATGGCAAAAAGACGTGTGCTTGATTTATTTTTGGTTTATTTTTCTTTGAGGTTATTTGATCYGCGCACACTGTTTTCCTAACTGAGATGAGGTGTTGTTTCGTCTAARTGCTCTACTGCGTTCTGCACTTTTGTGCTGTGCTCGGCTGCGCAACTTCTATAAATGTGTTGTGTTTCACAGCGGTCTGATGCGCCTGCTTTTACTGTACTGTGATCTCTTCTGCTCCTACCCATCTGCTCTAGTGCGCAGCACTAAAATCCTGTATCTGCCGTGCTGCTATTCGCTCCCTGCTCTGTTCTGTAACAGGACAGCAGTCCAAATCTGCCCTAATGGTGTTTTACCTTSCTTGTCAGTGCATTCAACATGTGCAGTCTTCATTTGCGCTTTAAAATGTCATTGCGGTATAGCAATTGTGTCGTTCTTTGTATCTTTCAGTATGTGCGCGTTTGACTTTCGTGGATGACTCAGTAGTCCATTACGTAACTGTAACGTATAAAGTTTAATGACGGAGCTTAACAACGATGACCGCTAATGATCAATTGTGCTTTACGTAACTTGTGCTTTACGTAACAGCAAGAACTTCCACGCACGTAAAAATACTGCGGAACGGCAATTCAATTTAATTCAATTCAGTGATCACTCGATAACCATCCAAGAGATGGCACATTTATTCGCGCAAGTAATCGCGCAATCGAAGTCATTGAATCCCCATCGGAGGAGTGGCAGTAAAGCCCACATAAACGTTTAATTTCTAGCTAAAAGTTGGTACATCCCAGTTCTCATTTTCTTATTTCATACTCTCAGAATCCTCCATTTAAATTGGCGATTGTAATCTATAAAACGTAGATTTTCAAAAACGCCAATGTTACATTGTAAGCTCAAAATCTATTCGACTTCAGTTATGGAATAAAAGATGAAGAACTTTTTAATATCGTACTGCATGGAATACAATGGAACATGAAGTATTGACCTCAAATGAAAGTACAGTGCACGTTCTACAAAGCACGACCCAACTTACAACTTCCGCCGGTGTCAGTGGATTTAATGCTATACGCGCGATTCTTACTAACAGCCGGTAAACGAGTATGATTTCTTTCGCCCCTTGAGGTAAAGCGGGCGTTTATGAAAATCGTTTGACAAATTAGCTGTTGAAACTCCCATCAAAAGTGTCTGATGGTTGAATTCCGTCGATCTTTTGGAGTTGAATTTCTTTATCYGCGCCAAAGAAGGGCATTAGATCACAATGCACACTATTCTATGATTTGGCSTGCTTTGGCATTTAAGTATCATGAGATTAAACCTGTATGGAGTCATTGTGTCTCTGGTTTACTCGCTCGATGTTGCCGATACAATATTTTGTTTTTTAAGATCAGAACACTAGCACGCGAAGATAGAATTTCCCGCCAAATTGGCCTTTTCGCAAGCAAGCGCGCGTGAAATTTCTGATGCGCTTTATGATAGTAATACTCAATAAATGGACAAAAAAAAATTGATTTACTGCTCTTATTACTGTTGGGAAGAACGTGCTGGAAACCCCACTCGGCCCTGCCCTAGAATCTCTCCTGCATTCGTTTAGATGAGTGTCGTCGGTTGTATGGTTGACGCAACTGCTTCAAACTTGACCAAGATAGCAGTTTCGAGCAAAAAACTTGCAAAAAGTAATTTCAATCTGATTAAAGAGGACGAAGGATTGACGATCAAAACGTCATAATAAAATGTTTTGCTCTTTCTTTTCGAATTTTATCATTTTATCAAGATTTTATCACAGTTTATATTTAAACCTCGATAAAGGTCATACAAATAAGAAGTCATGGCGTATTTTATACCAATTCTTCCACCAAAAAAGCAGTAACACTGTACATTAAACTTGTTTCCAGAATTCACCATTCCATTTHAAGTAAAATACTTGTCGGACAAGTGCTGACAAAAGCTAACAGGAAAACATATTATTGGTACAAGGTTAGGCCATAAATCACTGTCAAGAATCCTCTTATAGAAAGCTTTTCAACGAGTTTATTATCGAAGCATCGATAGCCCAGGGGTTGGAACTTTATCCAAATATTCTCGTTTTTAATCTTTTTTTTTATRAGTAGTAAGTCCTTTGTAGTTTTGACGTTGTTCACGCATAGTTGCACATGTGCTAGTTCTAAACTGCAATGTCTAAAGTGTAATGTCGCAGCTCCCAAAGCATCGAAGCACAAACAATAGAGCCTATTGTTCTGGACCAGCCAATCACATGACTGCAGTTTACACTATAAAACGGGGCTATTAGCCCAGCATACATCGGGCAAAATTTTTTTATGGTTAATGAAGTCAGTTAGGCCCAGAACTCACTACTAGCGTACACCATTAAACCAGAATTGCACATTGTAAACTGCACCAAACTTGCAATAAAGATTGACTGCTTTACATGTACACTTATCTACAACTGTGACATGGTGTTGTACATGTTTAATTGATAAACGTAARTACAAACGTATGCTTCACTTAAAATCTGTTTAAAAATCTAACAMTTTACCTCGAGAAACATCTATATGCGGTAAAATAAACAATTTTAAAAATGTATGTATATACATCTACGAAAGTTGTATTGCGGGAATTTGCTGGAATAGCTGAAAAAAAGAACAATTCGCAACCATTTAGGAGAAAGGCTTACTGTAAGTACTAAAGAATTGAATTGCGATGATTCYCAGYGTGAATCCGACTMTACGSAGTGCATACTGAGGGTTTTTTTTACATGCATGTTTTGCATTTTCGTTACTTTAGAGCTTAGGTCGTATTAGTCTAAGCTTTATGACAGACCACTGTTCAAGAGGATATGTTTATGGCAGACAATTAATCAGTTTTGATAGAGCTGAGATAAAAGATTAGATAGCTACATCAGATAACAATAATGGGCTCGGATTCGTGTTTACCAAATGAYATCATTCMAATTCAAAATGGCGGCGTATTGCTTRAGGCTAYAACATGTATGTTTGTAATGTTTTAGTCTTTTCTTTCTTTTTGTCTGCTTTTGTGTTAAAGACAACGGTAATAACGCTCATAAATCGATTCTGAATCGATGTAACTTGAAAAAATACTCCTTTGACCTGAAACGTCTGACACTGATATATTGCTATGACAACGGTTTCATTTCTTTCTACTATCGCACCTTTAGAATTCATTACAAATATCGGCATTTCACTGTACATTATATGTTTCATTTGGGATCTTTCTTTTCTATATGTTTATTTTTCTAATAACGCGGTTGTTTTGGATGAGTACAAATATTTTCCACTTAGTGAATCTTACCGCAAAGCATAGGAAATCCGCTAATATCCCCAATGAGTGACTGAGATTTTTGGCATTTATTTGGGTTTGAAAGTCAATAACTTGGTGAAAGGGCCAAAATGTTTCAAACTATCATCTTGTTTTGATTACTAACTTTACAGTTTTTGTTCAGAATCCTATATTTTGGAAAGATTAAAGAAATTATTATTTGTCAAAGAAGAACAAGAAAAAAAGACAGAAAGTTCACGAAAGACTAAGGGCATGATATCGGACGCTATATATGTCTTGAACTTTCAGGGTTCAAAAGTAAGAAGTTTCACGGAATTTATTCCGCTACTTATGCACATCATCACATGATTACACAATGCATTGAATGAGGCGCGTTCATTAATGGCCTGGGATCCAATCGTTCCCTCCCTCTTTCGCAACAGGAGTCTTGTCTTCCATTCTATTGCGCATGCCCTCTGCGAATCTCCACCCTTTTGTACAAACAGATTTCAGCACAAATACTGTAATTGTCCTCCCCTTGACCTCTGTGAACTTTATAGCGCCCGAGGGGGAGGAGGATGGGAGACGTTTGAAAAATCTTTTCACTTCCGGAGGAAGCCATTAATTGRAGGAATAAATATCTGAAAAATGATTTGATTTTTTTGCAAATTAGATTTTGTTTTCTTTTCGCTGTCTTCATTTCGACTCCCCATGAAATACGATTGAATGTCAAATAACTCTATTATTCTATGTCAAGTATTTGTTAGTACATTCTAAGCTCGTCACGTACAGGAATGCAATTCTAAAATAAACAGGAAATAAAAAGCGTCATATGGTCCTGGCTGTCCTGCCTTCATCGTGATTTACTTAGTCGTACCGAGATTTGCAGCTACACAGGCAGCCCAAGCAAAAGGGCGGGCGTCATCTCGATGATAACCAGGTTCAAAAGTCACGCGCTGCATTTTCCTCCTCGCTATTCATTATAATTYTAATCCTAATTCTATTATCGCAATTTCCTCTCGTTCATTGAATGGCAAAGTTGCGGAACTTGACACAGAGATCCCGTAGAACTCTATTTCAAACTGACTTAGCGCTGATTGACTACAGCTTACTAAATTCAGRTTCTTTTATGCATAATGAATACTGTACAAAATATTGTCATTGTAAATGCACGAGCTAGACTCATGGTGATAGCTGTGCAGGCAGTATTTGTTGTCAGTGATAGACTCGCCGCCAGTTCTACACGATATATTGTGACAGCGAGACACTGTGACATCCTTTCTCCATTATATTCCATAATATATTCCTGTTTARCGAACACATGTTTAGATCTTGCAAAATCATTTACTCGGGTTTCTATAATAATTTGTGACTTGCCAAACGAGATTGTATGGCAAATTTATACAGAAAGCATGGAGGCACACGCTTTGAGTTTCAAAAAACTGAAAATATCTAACCCAACTTTTATCAAGAAATACAATATGCATAAAATATGCCTCGAACGATCTAATATGACCAGATATTTTACGYGAAATTTAATATTTTAGCACAATTATTAATAAAGAATGTTTTAGACTCCCTGTTTACCCACCTCCTCGGAGATAAAGTACTCCAGCTTTGAGTCAWAGGTCAGCTTCATTCACGTGACTTCKACGTTGGTTTTCTTGTGACCTTTAGTCTATCTTGGCGTGAAAACATGCCTCGTATATACGGGAGGAATGACATATTTTCAATACTTTGTAGCTGCCAGTTTATCTGCTTTTTTCGGCGTTTATTTATTCTTTTTGTTTATTTGTTTTTGTCGAACTTTCATTGTTGCATTCAGTAATGTTTAGTATTTGCTTGTTTTGTGCTATTGGATTTCCTTGTTCGCTACCTCAGCAGTTGTTCGCTTTGTTTACATGACTGTTTGATCTTTTTGAGCTTAGTAAGTTAGCGGAACGCGTGATTGGTTCGTACAAATTGCGCGGAACTATAGAAAGGCGTTTAGAAAAAGTAAGAAATTCTATCAAAAGGCCGGAAAAAGTAAAATCCGCCCCAAAAAAGTTGAATTTGTAATTGCGCAGTGAACGTTACCAGATACAAAGACAGAACACATCGTTAGACTCAAACAGTGTTTTGCGTTGATGRTTGCAGTTTATCATATAAAGGTCTCGGTGCAGATACAACTCCCCCCTCCCCTCCCCAACCTAGAGTTATCAAAAGATGAAAGTGCCCCCATTAAATATTACAACAGAGAATAACTTTTAAAATACATCAGCCTCGGGCATTTCGCTAACCCACATCAACACGAGCTCAAACTGCGAATCAAGGTAAGATGGTTCTTCGTTTCAGGTTCAATTTACACAGAATTAGGTTTTATTTGCCTTGCGGCACAATGACGCCATCCCCCGTAAGAAGTTGAGATTACAAAACATCRAAACTAAAACAAATTCACTAAAAACCTTGAATTCTTTCAAATAACTCAGACGAGGAGATTGCCGAGTGCATGTTGAWTCGCCCGGTATGTACTTGCAGGAATTTTCAAGTTGGATTTTTGGTGTTTTTGAGACCATTTCATAACCTTTGAAGTTGTGTTATTGTTTCAATCCAAGTCGCCTGCTTGGTTTGATGTGTAATGCAGTTTGACAGGCCATTCTCTCGCTGTGTGGTCTCAGGGYCCTAATTCATTACCTGTAAGCAAAGCTACCGACTCGATCTTTCAGTCAAGAGCCAATCACAACAGGCTGTGACGTCTCAAGCCAAAATGTGCAGAGATTAGCTTTCTCGCGATGACTTTGCTTGATCTCATGTTACGGTTGAGAGGGGAAAGAGATAACGACRGCGACTTGCAGGCTTACAAACATGGACTCTAACACTCTAAAATCTTTATTCCATCGATATAGCTTCTGTAAACTCCAACTACAAGTTTAATCCAAAGCTAGGAAGGAACTTACGGAGTTTAATGGTTCTTTGTGGTGTAAAAACGTGCGAGGATTTCTCAACCAAGAGCGCCTTCGAACTAGTGGTCTTACATCGACCTAACTRTTAGTATGGCATGGACAGARAGCTACACATGGGCCAAAGAAGCACTACAAGATATCGACGAGGTATGGAGCAATAACCTAGTTCGTTAGAACATTTCKTAACTGCTMAATTCGCGAGTGTATCCATAGAAGGATATTATGGCTCGCTTTCTCTCAAAGCGTGTTAGGTTCCAATGCTGAATTGTTTACATTTATCCAACGCTTGCGCCGATTTCTACCACAATAATTAATCCCAAAGAAGGGATTTAACGCTAGGTTCATGTCCCTTGTTATGAACAGTGTATTTGGGAGTTCATCTGTCAAATCTACACAGGTATTTGGACAATCTATCTGAATACAATACCTCCCCAGAAGTTCCCGTGCAAAGGGGTTGATTCCACGTAGAATAACCCTAGCTTAGCTTTAGTTGATAGAACACAAGTTGATTAATAAACGAAAGAACACAAGACCTAATCCTGCGCTTTTTAAGCGAAGTTTGTAGGGAGTTAAAGCCTGATTTCTAACCGACGCTGGCGGTCTCGATTTAGTATTTAGTCGCACTACCGTTTTCGAGTGGAAGATCTGTTCTTGCCGGGTTCTAACACCTCATTCGTATAATAGCATAAAGCCAAAATCTAGGGTTCCGATTTCATTCCTTGGAAAGACTGTCYTTTATGATTGATAAGGTGGAAAAAGCATGTCCTTCAAAATTTGTACGATTACAAATCGACTCAAATTCAGAGGAACGTGGAATTATTAAGCCTGAACTTAAGTTACAGTCGCGCAACCAAGCACAGTAACACGAGTCGTGAATTTTGCGAAATTACAGAAAACAAGAACACAAAGTTCATGTCTTCAATAGGATTTGTTCACTTGTGAAAATAGATTATTGTAAAGATACATATTTACTCATAAAAGAACAAATGTTTAGACTAGAGCATTATGCTTTATCCATGTAAATCCAGTCACTACAAGCTTGGAATATCATTATATAACTGAATACGATCAGTTAAAGTATTTCAACAATATTTCTACAAGTAAGAGCATGTGTTTTGCCTCGCCCTCTTTACAATTCCAACACTAAGGAATATATTTGCGAGGTCTTAAACAATATTGGAGTAAGTTCGAATTTGGGTGGTCCATCGCGGCACGTGTCGCGATAGGCCATGTACAATTTATGTTATTTTACGTCGCTATGTCATTCAAACTTTACGTTTCGACAGGCATTTTCCAGGAAGTTTGAAATTGCTGGACAAAAATGGTGATTTTTGGCGAGATTCGAACGCGACGCGAGGCCTAATTAGTCCTTGGAGTTGAATGATTTGTAACAAATTGTTCCTTGAGAAAAACACCCGAAACAAGTTTCTCGCCATCTTGTCTGAGCCGTAGTAGCATCCGGTTCGCTAAAACACCTACTCCTACGCCATTTTAATGAGATYTTTAATGTTTTTTCCTTGCCTTACAGGGCCGTGCAATGGGAAATCGTCKARCACTTCGATTACGCGCACGAATTCAAAGTGTGCTGTTTAAATGGGGATGTTTTTCACAGCGACAYTGYGGAAAAGTGGTCTTGATCAGCCTTTTGGTTTCATTTGCGCTTTGCTATGGGCTATCTTTTGCCAGACTTGAAACAAACGCCGAAAAACTTTGGGTAGAAGGTAAGAGAGGTCTTGCCTGTGTTAAAAATCAATAACACATTATGTTTTTCTTAGCCATTGCATTGTTATTTTTCCGCTCAAGCATCCTTGCCACACATTCTTCCTCTCTAGAAGTTATGGAAGGAACTCACTTGCGTGCTTATTGAATAAGCAAAGGTATCCAAAGTATAAAAGAACATATGAAAATCCTATCCGCTATGTCTAAGTATCTCACAACTGTTCTTTGAATCAGGTCTGCTTAACACTTCAACAGTACATCAATTAACTGACCCACTAATTGACTTAGAATGTTGTTCTTTGCCTTTGATCGCAAAAAAATCTTGTTTTTGTTGGCTTTATTCCCTTGAAAGTCTAACATTTCCATCTTTAGGGCTTATTTTAGACTCACCGAACTCATATATTGCATAAAATTCCCCGTTATTTAAAGCTATGCCTTAGAAGATCGAATTTCGAAGACCACTGCACTGTTCTGTGACTTGTACAATAGCTATGTGTCTCAACATGTTTTTAATTGTKTCAAAGAATAAAATACTTACAAAATGATGAATTTGTCGGCAATTTAGCGAGGTAGCATTCGCGAAAAAAGCTCAGTGGCCAAGTTCCGGTCGTAGTTCCAAAAATAGCTTATTGACATGTGTGCGACCAAGACAGTATTTTCCCGTGTTGACCTTAGAAAAAGCACTAATAACCTGATAACTTCTATTTGAAAATATCTAATACTTCTTAACATTTTTGACATTATTTATGTCTTCGTGGTAACTTATCTCTCAAATCAATTTGTAAAACTCAAGAAAGTACCAGAGCCGCGATGACCCAGGGGTCTTCAAACGTTGCGGACTCTCAAACTTCACTACGCGAAAGTACGCCAACAATTTTTATAATACTTGATTCTGACAAAGAGCTGTTTGTTTTATCGATAACCAAAGTTGTCATAGAGTTGTTTCGTCTTTAAAGACTTAATTGATTTTGTATTAAGCTCAATTAGGGAAACTCAAACATGTTTCAAACTTGTGTACAATCTTGTCATCCTAAGGACATGACATACCGTTCATACTTCAGCAGACTGCAACCTAAACCTTTCAGTATATGAAATTAATGGTCAGTCTATTTTTAAAACTTTAAGCAGTAAACCAGGTCACAAAGACCGCTTGTGATTTTTTTTTAATCAAAGTAATATGGGTGTTAGCGGTTGTTTGTTTTGGATGTAAAAGAATGCGATTACTTTTGCTATATAAACACCCTAAAACTCCTAAAAGTTTACATTTTTTTATGAAATTAGATCCAGCTAAACCCGGTAGTTAACAAAGAAACTCTTTCTCTTTCTTTATTGTATATTTGTTGTTAAATTCATATTTTTTAAAGAAACTACATTTACAAGGAATTCAATAGTTGTAGCTTTATTAGCTATCATTTTGGTTTTTGCTATACCAATTCTAACCCCTATATTTCGGACACCCCYGTTTAACGGGCACTTTGGTCGTATAGTGAGGTTTCACCGTCACCGTATCAGTAACCATAATACACCAAAAAGTTGTCCACAGAAATAATACTTTTGTACATTTTAAAAAGTAATACATCAAAAGAGACACAAAAAAGGGTTTAGTCATGGTTAGTTTGTATTTCTTTCCACTATAAAGTATGAATTCTCTATGTTTCTATTACAATTTTTTCATTTTAACATTTCTCCACTTGCCGCAAAWGTTCGTCATGTCTGTCATTAGGTATTTGGTAACCCTAAGGTTCTCTTCCACCACGAGTGTCTCTTCCTATTCTTGTTTTCAATGAAAATATAAAGTTAATAGCATTTGTGGTCAAAATAGACTCTGCTTGGAAAACCAACATGTTGTAGAGTCTTAGTGGCGCGAACCATGTTTGGTTAGCTCTCGTCTATTCGTGTGGTTGTGGATTTTATTGTCTGTTGTTCCAATAGGTCAAAACCAAGGGTCTCAAACCAATGGTTATAAATCAGAATTTCACTGTATTTGATTTGTAAAATCATTATTTTATGAACTGGAACTGTAATTAAAAATTACAGTAGAAAATACTGAAAAAATGAAAGTGCATTTTAGATTTGAAAAAAATCTTAGTCACAGAGAAGATAACGAGAATTAATTCAAATTAAAACAAAAATTGAGTGATTATCTCGTTTTCATACATAGTAATGATTGGATTTGGCTTGGAAATTGAGAAGATAATCCCTCCTTTTAAGGCTATGACCAGAAACAGTTTAAGTAGCTCAAAAAGTATGAAGCACCAAAATCATGGCTGCTTTAGTGTCAATGTTAAACCTGTAATACCAGTTTCTAATTCTCGTTTTTCAGGGTTATCTTCAAGTCCTTCTTATAAACTATGTTCTTTAGACAAAACCCATGGATACTTTTCACCATAATATATTGTCCTACGACTTTCCTCGGAAATTTTACATTGTAAACGTTTACCTAGAACTCCACCCCCAAAACTAACGCTTCATAATTACTTTTAATTACTTTTTATTAATTTGCATTTTCAATTTTAGTTGGTGGTCGTTTAGCTGATGAAATTAGATATTCTGAATCCATGCTCGGTAAAGAATTTACGAATACACAAGAGGTCATTATTCAAACTCCAAACTTCAGAGGAACAAACATCCTAACAGTCGACGCTATGCTTCTACATGTTAAGGCTCTCAAGAAAGCCGCTATGGTAAAAGTCAAGGTCGAAGACAGGTACAATATTATGGGATATCTTGGGAGAACTTAAGTGGGGCATAGCTTTGTCAAGGTCGAACTGGAATWGATTTTGTTTATTATGTTTTTTGAGTCCGGTAAAGTGTTCTTATGTCTGGATTTACTTTGATCTTTCCATCGGAGTCACTGGACAAAAATGATTTACATTYCTCCCTTTTTCCCSTCCATCCTCTCTCCATTTCTTGTTCKTTTTRATTGAAAATTGATTTTTGACTTTCTTTTTAGGGAATGGTCGCTCAAAGACCTCTGTTACAAGCCAAACCTGCCCGCGTTTGATGACAAACTTCTACAAAAAGTACTTAGACCTTTATTGATTAACTGATCTTGTTATTTTCCTTTCAAATATACATTCCCAATGATTTACACAGTAATTGAGTAATTGATGAATGGATGGTTTTGATTCATATATTGATCGCGGTTTGACTCGCTGACTTTTGTTACAACCGTATCAAATCAAGCTTATTTATAGTGAAGCTATCGGAGTTGGAACAAATAAGGATGTGGAAATCATCAGAAAGAGAAATAATTGGGACCAGAATCAGTCATTCTGCTGGCTTAGCGGCTAATTACGTCTCCTCCGTCTTCCTTCGCTAGTGAGAATCAAGCCCGACGGGATGGGTGATCAATTTATCTTACATTAAACCGTGCTATCTTTCTGTGTAGGTTATGGGGCATCTAATTCCTTGCACCTTCATAACACCAATGGATTGCTTCTGGGAGGGCGCAAAGATCCACGGTCCAGAAATTGACGTTTCTTTGCCGTTAGTATTCAATGGTTAACGATAYTACGCTTTAATCAAAGTTTAAAAGYGCAAGCACCATATAAAAGCGTAAAACGTGCGATCCAAATGGTGCTTTAAAATAGCGCAATGTGGTGTGTATTAGACAGTAGAAAACAAGGCTATTCGTACAAGTCAGTACAATAAAGTTACTCATCGTTTTATAGTGTTTGCAATCTACATCAAAAAGACAAAGAAAACGTGCGCAATAAAGATTTTTCAATCATAAAAGTTCATTAAGTCACATTCTAAGTCACTAATCAGCCATTTTCTATCCTTTTTTTTGCTATTTCTAGGCACGATCCCACCAATGAATATCTAAAATGGACGACTCTAAATCCTATTGGTCTACTGAATGAAATCCAGAAAAACTTCTACTTGTATCCCTGGGAAATGGAGAAGATCCGTTTGATATTCGACGAAGTAAGTACTGCATGCAAAACCCCTGTAACTCGAACAAAAGATGGTCGGCTTTGCAAATGTTGCATGGTTGAACTTCAAAATTTCGCTTACATCAATGTATAAATCAGCTTTTTCAAAACATTGGACAGTGTTTCTGTGATCATTAATGACGCCATTGCTGTAGAACATAAATGCTGTCGGTTGATTCTATAAAAGCCGGTCGCTTTTCAAAGAGTGGTCGACTTCCAAAAGATCGCCGTACCCGGAAGTAATTCATCACTTAGCGACTCTTCAGTCATGTCTGCCGGCATTTCTCAAATAACTTGCGTAGCGTGCGGCGATGATACATCGGCTAAACTTGTTATAAACACGTTGCTTAATTAGCATAATTTAGCGCACTCTGATTGGCTAGAAAGCGTGGTTTATTTCCGATATCCACATGCTCTCAAAGAAATCATGCTTTCATTTGGTTGAAAGAAAATGTCTAAGGAAGATCTCCAAGTACAATAGCGTAGTAAATGCCCTTACTTTTATCCTGTTGCCGGTGCTATTATCCACCGGATGTGGTCAAAAAGACTTTGGTTTTGTGGTGGATAATCTTCGGTATTTAGCCGTGTAAAAGCATGGATTTCATAACACAGGGTTCCTGTGTAAAAAGCGTGTTTATATTGTCTAGTTAAAATTGCGATTAAAATGTCCCGCATTTTATGATCATGTGTTTATATGAAACCTTGTAGTAAAACAAAAATAGAGGAAAAATCGAGGGGAATTAAAAAAAGAASAAGATATACTGAGTTAGATAGACACAGCTCTTAGATTTGAGCCAAATTTGGAACAAATTCATTGCTTAAACTTATGAAACTGCCAAACGTGATTATATGGAAAAAGCTTGGTATAAGTTGTCTTACTTGTCCTCGAAATCTGAATTAAGACTGTAACAAAATTACCTAAACTTTCCGCCAGTAATTGTTGTATCATCTCGATCATTTTTCGACTTGTTTTGTGTTTGTGTTTCAGGCAGGAATAACTACTGGTTACTTAGAGAAGCCATGTTTAAATCCAAAAGATCCGCTTTGTCCTTTACTGGCGCCGAATTTTTACTCTAAGGAGGTGAGGTTGTTATAGAGTCGTTAAGATGTGTTTTAATGATGACAATGACAGATATACACAGCACGGGTATGATGTACCAGTGTTATGCCATGTATTTAGTCATTAATTCTGCCATAAGTGCTGACTGGTTATTTTGATAAAAGAATTTTTTTTTAATTGTTCTATGATTTTCATATTTTTATTGCTGTTTTTTGTGTTTTTTCCTCTTGATCATTTCGTCTTTCCTTCCACCCTTAATTGCTTATCTCACCTTCGTTTATACTTATTTACCGTTTGTCAATGTTCTCACTTTTTCCCTTTAATTTACTTTCAATCTTTTAATTTTTTTTGTACCCCAGGCTCCAGACGTCGGCGCGGTCCTTACAGGAGGGTGCAATGGCTTTGCATCCAAATACATGGAGTGGCCAGAAGAACTTATTGTTGGCGGAGTAACAAAAAATCGTTCTGGTACAATTAGAAGGTAGCGTTATATTCATTATCAGTTCCTTGTTCACATAGTTTTGTTCTACCTGTGAATGACCTCACGTTTTACGTCATTCATATGCCTCTGACGTCACAAACACAATTTGCTACGTCATCCACGCGTCTCTTACGTTATGTATTTTACCTGACGTCACTGTTACGTCATGTATGTTGTCTGACGTCACTATTTCGTTATGTATGTTATCTGACGTCATTATTACGTCATTTTACTGACATGGTTTTGTGTACTGTTACGTAGTGCGGCTGCCCTTCAAAGCGCCGTGATATTAATGGGTGCGAAGAACCTGTTGGAGTATTACCAGGATGAGGATTGGGCCAGGGAAGAATACATTTCCTGGAATATCACGACCACAAGGAATATCCTAGCGGCTTGGCAAAACGAATTTACCAAGGTAAGAAGATAGTATTGTCCATATTTGGTATTAATTTTCCTTATTTGGTATTAATATTACTTATTTGGTATTGATATTCCTTATTTGGTATTAACTTTCCTTATTTGGTATTAATATTACTTATTTGGTATTGATATTCCTTATTTGGTATTAATATTCCTTATTTGGTATTGATATTCCTTATTTGGTATTAACATTTCATATTTGGTCCTTGTAGGTGATGAAAGAAATCACAGATCCCCAAAAGGACGAGTTTAACATTTTGGCGTTTGCTTCCGCATCATTCAACGAACTTTTGAGAGATTTTTCGAAAACAAGTACTTTTCGCCTTGCCATGGGTTACGTATTGATGGTAAGAAAAGAATCTCTAGTTCTCCCAAGAAAAAAAATATTTTTTTTAAGTCTTGAGTAAAAATCTCTAGTTTGATTATTTTCTTAACTAACAATTTTCATTTTTTTGTTGTTGTTACTTTTCAGTTAATTTACTCGGGGTTGACTTTGAAGAGGTGGAATGACGCCGTGAAATCCCATGGTGCTTTGGGGGTGGCGGGTGTTCTAGTGGTTACCATGGCAGTGGCATCGGGGCTTGGCTTCTGTGGGTATCTTAAAATTGCTTTCAATGCAGCCTCGACACAGGTATGAAAACATTGAAAGCTTCTCACTGTTCACATAGAGATAGCATGGTGGGCCTACATTTCCTCCTATTACGTAAATCCATTCGACGATTCAGTACTTTGACTTCTAGATGAGTACACGTTTTACATTAGTACTCGCGAGTACATTATTAACAAAATCAAACGATCAAGGGTTCGAATTCCACTAGCTGAACACAGTTGTTTTAATCTTTATATTAAACGCTTTTAAATGTTTCTATATGTAATTCTGAAATGAAATCTAAAGTCAGAGTTTAAAATGAAAGCGAACTGGTAAAATTGGACATGAGATCGCGTGTTCCGTCGCTAAAATACATGTCAATTCTGATAACCTGTGATTACAAAACAATTAYATGTTTGGCGACAAATTTTAAAGGTTTTGTGGTTTGACTGAACTTTCTCTTATTCATCAATCATATATGTCAAAGTTGTGTTGCCTGTTGACAAACAAATTTAACATCTGAAAGACTTTCAATCATTGAAATCTTATCTCAAGTATCGAGTACGTTCCGGAGTTTTTTTGCAATATAGATGACTATTTTTAAATCTATTTCACGGATTTGGGGATTTCACTCTTATCTAGGAATTGCTGTTGTGTTTTTCSGTTCACATTGATGATTTTTACTTGACTTTTGCTGAAAAAATGCTACCTTAAAGAATGACTAATATGACTTTAATGAATTGAAAGGGTTTTTTTTGCCTTTGGCTTCGATTAATAAAATTTTACTAGCCGTTTCGATGGACCTTCATAAATAGTTTACAAAGAGTACCGTTATTGTACTTTAATTATGGATCCTGGCTTCAATTTTCGCATATTTTTGACTATAATGAACTTCGCTTCCATTTTCGTATTTTCATTTTTATGCCTAGTAGCCTTTTTACAAAACAAAAGTTCTAATTCATAGCTACATTTTTCTAAATTAATCTAGACTTCATTTCGTGTCTTCCTGTAGAATTCATACTAACATTCCCTTCAGCAAACAAACTTTAACCTCAATATCTCTAACTCGTTAATCACTGTCTTGTATGTATTTGACAGGTTTTACCGTTYCTTGCCCTCGGCCTTGGGGTGGATGATATGTTCTTGTTGGCACACACCTACGCATCCATATCCGACCGAGGGGAAGTTCATCCATCGGTAAGMCTGGGGACAAGGKCACRTTGTGTCGGCCATRTTTAATTACTGTAATCCAAGATGGCGGTTCATTACGCTATGTTWACTACAAATGTGKAAATTGMAGTTCAAATGATTTGACATTTTGCCAAAAGACACTATATTTGAACAACACGACACGCTGTTGAACGGAAAAAAAATAAAAAATCTGAGGAAACATGTCGAAGCTGAAGGCTGATKTTTTCCTTTCAAAAAAAATAAAAATAATTCAAAGTTGTACTCTACGATTAACAATCAGAGTGCAAATATGATCAAAAGCGCTATTCTCGTTGAAATTACCWGATGTTAACAGGAGAATTTATATTTTAATCAATGGTATTTTGTTGTGTCAGGACCAGGTGGGGTTCGCCCTTGGTATAACTGGTGTTAGTATATCTTTAACGTCTTTCAACAACATGTTTGCCTTTTTAATGGCTGCAATCATCCCGATTCCTGCACTCAGGGCCTTCTCCTATCAGGTAAATCTGAAAAGCAGTTTCTATGTGAACATTTGAGAAAGAAAAATAAAAACAAACGAACAAACAAAAATGAAAAAAAAAAGCGACACATATCAGAGCAAAAAAGTCTATCGCAAGTGTGTTATGATCGGCATATTATGTCATGATATTGATCAGCAATATATATTAATAATTGAATGACAAGAGTTTGTTTTCATCACGTTACGTTTCTCGTTTAGGCTGCTGCCATTGTGGTGTTCAACTATTTCGCTGTTATTATCCTATATCCTGCTATGTTGGCCATTGATGTTAAGAGGAAACACGATCAGCGCTACGATTTGTGCTGTTGTTTTCAAAGGTACAAAGGAATATCTAAATAGAGAAGAGCGTCTAAAGTTCACCCTTCATTCGTTATTTCCTATCTTGCTTGTTTGCTTCTCCTGTTTAGAATAGCTGCGTTCTTCGACGTTATAATGTCTAATGAACAATTTGACTTCATTCAGACTTTCATCCCTACTTTTAGTGAAGGCTSTTTTCGGTTCTCCTCCATGCCTCRTRTTCTCCACCATGTCCGCGTGTTATATTTCATCGAGAAAACGCCGCAATGCATCCTTCATTGCTTTATTTAATGATTTTTCCTCTTTCAGGAGCGGACCGCAAAGAATCCTAATCACTCCTAACTCTACTACCGACAGCGATTTAGTTTTACGTCGATACAATAACTCGAGTAGCTCTTTGTCTTCTACGTCATCCGCTGGAGTCCACGCAGGCGCAGTGGTATTACCAGGAAGCATGCAAGCCACTGCCAGTGGTACTGTCTCYCTTCCTGGAACTGTCACYCTTAAGGCTTCAGCTGTTGCGGAGCTCAGTAATGGTGCTATGTTGCCGTTGTCAGTCAGCGGTCTTGCTGCTATGGACGACTTTGTTGCCATGAATACTTTGAATACGTCCGATGGACGACAGCGTGCCACGCGTTTAGACAGAAATCGTAACCAATCAAATGATACAGATAATGTTCCAAGGACAATTAACACTGGRAGAAGGCATGCTACCAGATTTAATAACAGAACGTTTGAGCACAATGTCCAACCAACACCTTTCATGGAAAACCGTTACTCATCGCATTCCAGGAACTCTAGAACTTCGTGTAATGTTGAAGTCACTTCGACTTCCAAATGGAAAACAATAAAAGAAAAGATCAAGCACTTTTCATTAACAAACTTTGCGAAATATTACTATGGGCCTTGGCTACAGATGTTTCCTGCAAAGGTCAGTACTAGAGAATTGTTTTTRTACCAATTTACTATATTTCCAGACCTTTACTTGGAATACTAATTGTAAATAGCGCTTTGCATGCCGGGACGTTAAGACCGAGGGGGATTGTGGGTACTTATAATTTAATTCCTTATATGGCTTTTATCAGATATTTGTCCTTTTCGTCTTCGCTGCCTTATTTGGTGTGAGTATCTATGGCTGTATGAAAGTCAGTGATGGTCTTGATTTGAGAGACGTCGTRCCCCGAAACAGCACAGAGCATAAGTTCGTCACAGCACAGATGAAGTACTTCTCAATATATCCAATGTATCTTGTAACGATGAAAGATTTCGACTATCCGAATAAACAGAAATTATTATACAAATACCATGAAGCGTTTAAAAGTGTAAGTATTGAATTGTCTAGATTAGATCATAAGTTCAGCAGTCATTCTGCATTGTGATTGGCTACATAAAGGGTCATAAATAGCTCTTCATACTCAGACCCAATTATATTTATCGGGACTTTATTTTTAAAGGTCGCCAACGTCATCAAATCTCCCGAGATGCATCTCAGACCGTTTTGGCTGATGTACTTCAGAAACTGGCTTAAAGGTAAGTGTATTGGTTGAATGGTAGATCGACACCAGAATCAATCGATTACGTTGACTYCAGACGCTATTTTAGGCCATGATTATGATTATGATTATGATATCTGAATCTCATCGTTTTCTATTCAGATATCCAGAGAGCATTTGATAGAGACTGGAAGCGTGGTACCATTGACTACAGTGGATGGAAAGAGAACGCCAGTGAYAGCGGTATCCTAGGATACAAGATGTTAGCTCAGACTGGGGACGAGGATAATTCAATCAACCGATCTCAAGTCCGTTCTGTACAGCTTGTGAATGACGAAGGGATTATTAACCCTAAAGCGTTTTATAACTACTTGACTGTGTGGTATAATGTTGACCCAATGGGGTTCACATCGGCGCAGGTGAGAGAAGTTCAGTAGAAGTAACTTTCTTCTAGAAAAAGAATTCAAACTTCATGTTTGTTCGACTGCTCCACGTATATAGAGGAAAAACACTAAAGAGTCCAAACATTAAAAGCTGTATTGTGTTGTGTAGGGAAACATCAGACCCTCACCAGGTAACTGGGTGAACTCAMGAGATCCCAAGGAATACCATAACGTTCGAAGTAAGAGCATATAGAATTTTTCAATAAATAGAAATGAGTTTGAAAATTTTCTAAGTGGAGAGCAAAATTTGTAATATTAATCGTGTGTTTTCTTTTCAGTTCAAGCCGCCAAACCCATCAAGTTTGCGCAGATTATGCTTTACTTAGTCAACATGAAGGACACAGACACGCATGTCAAAGTTATAAAGGTCAGTRARACGAAAGTTTRCTCCARAACAGCGAAATCCAGGCCGAAATAGCAAAACGAAACGAAATGTGGWTCGAAATAGCGAAACGAAACGAAATTCGGGTCCAAATAGCCAAACGAAATGAAATTTGGGACGAAATAGCAAAACAAAACGAAATTAAGGCTGAAATAGCGAAACAAAAGGGAATATATGAAATGAGACAAAACAAAAACTAAAATGAGATATGTATGCTTTATGCATTGCAGGAAGTGCGAGAWATCTGTGAAGAATTCAAGTCAAGAGGACTTCCATCTTATCCCAGTGGAATTCCTTTCACATTCTGGGAGCAATACATTTGGTTGCGACACTATCTTCTTGTAGCAATAGCCGTTATTTTGTCTGTTAGTTTTGTTGTGATGRTTTTCGTCTTGTGCAGCGTCTGGGTTGCCATCATCATCGTAAGTATGAATAAATGTTTTTAGAATAAGTTTTTTCGTAACGTACCCTCGTCTTCTGGTTTAAGTAAAATGTGTTTGACTCAGTCGTCGCTTGTGTCGAGTTTCCGCGCTATGCTGCAAAACGTCCCTAAAAATATCTTAAGTTGTATTATTTTTGAATTAAAAGCTTTCAGCGAAAAAATTTCTTAACCCTTCGCTAAGTTACTCCATGTTTTATCAAATATGGTATGTTTTACCAAATTTGGTATGTTTTACCAAATATGGTATGTTTTACCAAATATGATATGCTTTACCAAATACGGTAGGCAAGTTTCCATAATTTCTGCCACAAATTTTGATACATTGTGTTTGTGCACAGGTCGCTATATTGACAATGATCACCGTCCAAGTATTTGGTTTCATGGGTTTAGCGGGAATCAAACTAAGTGCAGTACCTGCTGTAACTCTAATCTTATCTGTTGGTGTTGGTGTCGAGTTCACAGTTCATATGTGYTTGGTAAGTCAGAAAAATTACAACTGTAACCTCGTGAGCTCTTAAATGTAAAAAAWWCATCTAATTTCCAAACTGAYTGGAACTWAAAAGCSGTAARAAAGCTCGGACRTTCTTACAAACAGAAGTGACACGAMTTTAGAGCTTCTATTTCACTTTAYAGGCTTTTCAAACTGCGATTGGTGACCGAAACAGCCGCATGCAGAAGGCAGTAGAGCAAGTTTTTTCACCGATAACTGACGGAGCTATTTCAACCTTACTGGGTGTCATAATGCTTGCTGGATCAGAATTTGACTTTATTATAAGGTAAAATAAACCTATAGATAAGAAATATTAACAGTTTATGCAATACTGAATTGTTTCCTAATTCTATCCCACATGCCTCGTAGTTTACCCACTACGCATGCTCTGTTTTATACGCCTATCCCACATGGCTCGTAATTTATCCATTACGCATGCGTGCTGATATGTAAATGAATGYTTGTTTTTTTTAGATATTTTTTCCATCTTCTCTGTGCGTTAATGGTCATTGGTTTTATGAATGGATTAATATTTCTTCCTGTGTTGTTATCATTGGCTGGGCCGTCACCCGAGGTAAGTTATAACCCATTAGAAACAAGATACCTCGAAATGCAGAAATCACAATTTTGACTCATATTTCAAGTGTATATAAAATATATCCGAGATTTGGAGATATCATCGCTGATATTTTTTTGAAGTTGCCTAGCACTAGTACTTTCTGAAAAAAAACTGGCGATGATATCCCCAAATTTCTGATATATTTTATATATACTTGAAATATGAGTCAAAATGGTCATAATTTCTGCATATTGATGTAAATCATTAGGTACACCTACATATTTTGACCCTCTTATGGACTAGATTATTTCAAGCCGTTGCGTTTTCAAATTTTTTTGACGAAAAAGAATTCAAAAATGTTACTTGTTTTGTTTTTAGGTGGAGGAGAATCGACCGCCAGGTACAGCWTCCTCKGCRGGKTCTCAACGCGAGTTACTACCYGTATCWTCATGCCGCCGAGGAACACCTCCTACAGATTCCCAACTATGCATCCTAGACACCTCATCTCACGAWAGYAAAGCCGAAGACCGTACGGAAAGCAGCCGAAAACACCGGAGAAAAAGAACTGACCATAGTCATCATAACCGAAGAGTACATGCTGCAAATACACCTTCAAGGGTGCAATATGATCTAGAATCGACGAGTTCGGTTGTTGCACGAGTTACTGCTACTGCGACTGTTACAGTCSAAGTGAAAACTGAACAGGTTCCTAACGAAAGAACTGTGAATGAGAGTAATGGGAACARTAGGACGACGGACGGGGGAGTAACTATCGTTGACTTGGAAGGCCATGACGAAGTGAAATAGGTAAGACAAACAGTTCATTACAGTTATGCAAAAAGATACATTTAACACCGTAAAAAAAGGTGAAATAACTTACTGACGTTTCGGACGTTAATCCTTCATAGTTGGATTGACATCATTTACCAGAACTGCATTTCCAGATACCGTGGTATTTACCAGATCTTTCGTTTGCAGGTCAAAGGATATGAAAAAGCTGCACGAAGATACTGAACGAAAAGATACAGAATACTTSACCGGCGAAAACCATTACATCAAGATGGTGGTAACGCCCTTCATAAGATGATAATTTAAAACATACTTCAGACTCAAAAAGGGGTACAACCGCCATGAATACATAATTGGATTGGTAGTCATCAGTGTTTCATCAYATACGATGTGGGATTGCATGTCTTAAACAAGGTTACAGATGGTCAAATATGTTTTTAGAGCTGAAAGAAGCTCCTTCAACTCGATACAGTTGCTAGAAATATGAACATGGCGATGTATCCGATTTCTGTAATATATACAAGCGTACATTCTTGTTGGGTATTTTGTGCATATTCTCGAGGTGTTGAAGCAGYAATTGAAGAGACGTGTTGAAAACTTAGTAATATTGAGGAATATTTTCACTTGATGCAAATGTTTTATGCTGGACTAAAGTTTTCAAATTGGAAGAGATCACGTTAACAATGCAAAGAATCATCAATCGTGTGTCCAGTAATCCAATTTCTACAAGAGACTGACTAAAAGCTATTCAGTGGTTATTCTTAGCTCTCAGGTCAAAGGTGCTGAAATGGTTTATGGACTGAAAGAAGACAAAATGGATACTGAATAGTACAACTATAACAAAATAGTTCAAGTTTACAAGAATATYCTATTTGCACGTAGTCAATGTTAAGACGATTTTTGCGGACGAATGGCAAGGCATACGGACGCTTCAATTCTGGTATATTGTATATATTCAAAGCGCTGTCTTGCTATCGACGCAACGTGTATAAATGGCTTCTCTTAATCACCAGCACCTTTCAACATCGACACTTGTCTGTATCAGAGCAACTTGAGAACATCACGCATGATGAGTACATTTAACAATAGTCAAAGGAAGATAATCCGACATTACAGAGAACTATGTTAACAGATATCCAGCGCTGCTTTCAATTTGCTTCGCAGGTATTATGACCGAGAAATCATCTCTGAAACTTTACATATACAATGATTCAATTTCAGTATAATTTATTTATTCAATCTGTAAATAATATATCACGTGATCACTTATAGTCCAAATCCAGTCAAGATGTATACAGAAATTAATTGGGTTGATTTCGTTCGTCGAATTTTTTTACGTGTCGAGTTTACTTCAAGCTCCGCGCACGTTAGTTTGGACACTGAAAAAATACGACGTCTGAAACAKACCTAACTTAGAAAAACAACTTGGGGATGGAAGCGGTCATTCAAACATTGCTTACGATTTTATTGAAATTTATTAGTTTTCTGATTCATGAATTATTTCTGATTCCCGTGGCTTCTCAGGGTAAAATGATTCTTTTCCAATGTACACAAATTGAAAATCCGCTTCCTTCCCCGACAATATCCGCACAAATAGTAATGGAGTTAAGTGCTCAAGATTATATCTACCAAAACATGTACAATAAGTAGAAATATCGGTACAGAGCCGTGATAGATAATCGCTKGTCACRATGTAAGGTATCCATTTTAAGTATAACGAGTTCATAGTTCACGAGGGAAGAATCCGTTGTTAACAAGATTAGRTGTGCTACACACACTTCACTCTTTAGCATGCAGWARAATATTGATGAAGATCGTACACTACTCGGGATGAGCTCGGGAGCTGTTCGGTTCAAGTTCGTGTGTTGTACGGTGCACATTGATGCAAACATACCTCAAACAGACTGAGTTCATATGAAGCGTAAAGAACCCATTAGAATATAATATATCAGAGTGGAGTAAAAAGACCCAGTGAAATTATATTCACTACTTCGATTTTTCTGTTTTATAACTATGCTTTGACTTACACACCTATCAGGACTATGATATTTCGTTTCACGGACTATGATATTTCGTTTCACGGGTTTTATGTCTTCACACTGACCTTGGGATGTTCTAGAATCTAGTTTACATATCAATTGCGTGCTAYTGAACTAAGCATACAAGTGGTCTGTTGATCACGGGAGAGAAYGTCTCGTGGTTAAAACCCTTGAAATCGCAATTGAAGTGATCTCGGAGCGACCCCCATTGAACACTTCGTACGTAAACCTCCTTTCCTTATATGGAATAGCGAYGCAAAGCTTGACGGGAAATCGACTTGCTTTGACTTCTAGTGCCTCTAGACCCCTGGCATGGGAATGTAGTTCCATCGAGGTGCGAAAACAATGGACTTTTTGTCCCTCGGATGGAACTGCKTTGACTTCACATGTAAGGGGTCTACTCAGCAATTGAGCGTCGGGCAAACAGTATAGAATAACATTAGTATCTTAGTYATATACATTATTTATTACAGCGGTCAGCGGTATCAATACATATATCCCGGATGAAAACTTAGAAACGGCTCTTTATCGATTACCATAGCAACAGACCATATTTAATAAAATGTTGATGTTGAAATTGTATTACGTCATTGATCAAGTTTATTACGTCGCAATGCACGTGACTCAACAAATGCCATATTTGAATCTGACCTTATTATTATTATATTATTATTATTATATTTGGAGTAAAATTCAATCCCAAAGTTTGGTGACTTTCGAAGGTTTCCTAAACCTTGAAATTATTATAGCGAACATGTACACCGAAATGCCATCCATTCGGTCTCATATTATCCCCTAGACACGTGACTAAGTATTAAACCACAGGGATCCCGCGTGCATGTAATCTGATTAAACACGAGTATTCTGAAATGATTCATAATTTAATTTAAGAGTGCAAAATCGAAATAACCATGCTAGAAACACTTTAAAACAATACATACAATTTTAAGAAGTGAAATCATGCAGTCCAAGCGTGCCAGCACGCCATTTCTTCGCTATATTATTAACTGCAGGCTTGTSTGAGCAAAAACGGAATTTTAAAATGTACCTCGAGATCCTACATTGACTACGGTTATGGTAACTCTTAGATTTTACTAMAATTCCAGTTCCATAATGTTTGAGGACTAAGCTATGTGTCTTATCACGTGATACGGTGTGCGATAAATAACTTGTCACGTGACATAGATTTCTTTCGCGGTTAATGGCTGTTAGAGCAAACTTAATCATCGAGTTAAAACTTATAACTTGTCACTCGTCACATATTCAGCAACAGTCGCTCTATTAGACACTGCCTATTTTGACTATATATTTAAAGTCATTATAAAAGTATTCAAAATACTTCAACTAATCATTCTAAAATTATTTTTGTTTTCACGATTTTTTTATCTTTAGACGGGTATAACTGTCTTTTAAAATTCGCGAGTTTTTCGTATGGAGCGTTCTTACTACGCTTCTAATGCCGCGGCGAGCAGTTCCGCAACTGCTGTTGCATTGGTATTATGAAGTTTATGAGTTTTTATATGATAAATTGTAAGGGGCATAATGATGAAGATGATTATGGACACAGAGTGAAGGTGATAGCGATAATGAAGATATTTAYGATAATCATGGTGAAGGTCGTGAGGGATATGGGACATATATGTATATTCAATACGGTCAGTAATTGGCACGTTTAGAGTAAATTAACCGACCATTAAGAACCAAAGTCGATGTTTGTCTTCTCCATTGTGTTAAACTCATACGAACCACGCCCATCCATGTACAACACGTACTGAAAAACAAATCCATTTTAACAGAATGAATGATAATTTTACCACCCCCCCCCCCTTTGAAACTCTAATAAATACCATGATGCACTTCGCC